GCGCCGCGCCACCGTGCGCTCCCCGCGCCTCGTCCCCGGTCCTCCCAGAGGTGAGCTACTTCAACTGCTCGGTGGACAACGGCGGCTGCGCGCACCACTGCCTGGAGGGGGAGGGCCGGCGCCGCTGCAGCTGCGCGCCGGGCTACAGGCTGGGGGACGACCACCTGCAGTGCGAGCCCACAGGTGAGCCCCCTCCCCGCCCATCCCAGGGGTGGGGGCGGCACCGGGAGGCTCCCAGAGAGGGGGCGAGGAGGCGGGCCGCCAGGTAGCTCATCTCCCAAACTCTGAGCGGGTGTAGGGGGCCAGGCCTCCAGCATCTTCCTCCATCTACCTTGGATGGCTTTATTTTCTGAAGACACCTTGTCCAGCCTGGCATCCCATTTCCTCTTTTACCTCTGGCTTCTCTGAGGAGAGACAGGAACCATGAGTCTGCCTTCTCCTTCTTATACCTTTTAATTTTTATCAACTTTGTATATGTCCTAGGAAGTGAGAATTTTACAACTCTTATCATGAATTTCAGCAGGTTGCTCCTCAGTGTGGGTCTTTTCTTATTCGTTGTACAAGGCCCTTGATGGACCCTTTTCATGTGGAAATTCGTATCTACTGCCTCAGGCACGTTTCCTTAGTTATTTCTTTGATATCCTCCCCCTGCTGTCTCTATTCTCGCCTCCTGGACCTCCTGTTACTCAGATCTCTTTCCTCGGGACTGCCCCTCTAGGTTTATTATCACTTCTGTTTTCCATCGCTTTGACTTCGTGTTCGTCTTTCAGGGAACCTTCCACAATGTTATATTCCAACCCTTTTACTGGGAAGAAATGTCTAACTTTTTATTTTGAAATAGAGATTCACAGGAACTTACAAGGAAATGACTGTGGACCAGCTGGCCCTGGGGGCTTTCCTGAGAGGCCCTTGGAAAGCCCAGGTCACTGGCAGAACCCCTAATGCCCAGCTCCTCAGGTCTCAAGGCCGTGTCCTGAGAGGAATCCTCCAGGCTCATGTTAGAGTGGGCACAGCCTGCCTTCCAGCCCCCTGGAGCAGAGTAGGGAAGAGGAGCTGGCGTCTGCCCAGTCTGCAGATACCTGTGTGACTCCCTCTGGTCAGCCTTGCATGTAGCTGGAGCCCCAGATCACAGTCTCTGGCTCACCCTGTGCAGAGAAGACACCTGTGGTCTTTTGCAGGGCTGAGAGAGGAGAGTCAAGCCACTGGGCGCCAGGGACAGAGATCTAGGGCTCTAGCAGTTTCGCTTCCAAACTCAACATTCCTGTTTGTAGTCCCAACCTACACTGTGTCCTTCAGAAGCACTGAGGCTTCTGGGGGGTTCTGTAACAAAAGCAGTCTGCTGCTGGAATCCCCTATTACTGGCTGAGGTTTTCACTTTCTCAGTCAGCCAAGTCAGTTACCATGTCCAGCTTCTGGAGTTTTGTTGCTGTTGTCTGCCTCTATTCTCTGCCGCTATGCAATTCCCCTGCTGATGGTTGCCCACTGCTCCTACAACAAGTCTAAAGCTCTCAACCTCGCATGCATGGTCCATCATGAGCAGATGCTGGAAGCCCTCCCAGCCCTCAGTTCTCTGTCCTGTGCTCTCTCCTCTTGGCAGAGGACCTCACGACCATGCTCAGAGCTACTTTGGGGGCCCTCCAGGAATGCCCACCACTTCCTCCCCATAATTTCTTACCTGTGTTAAGAGCTTGGTGGCATCCCAGCATGAGACTTTACTTATGTACCTCAGGGATTACTCCCAGCAGCCCTGGGTATACTGAACTCTGAGAAGTTTAATCTGTCCAAGGACACACAGATAGGTAGTGATGCTGCTTGGTGTGGCTCTTACCATTAGGTGGCACTGTTTGTTGACTGACTCACTAACCCAAGGGGATTGGCAGGTTACTGGAATTGGGTGCCTCAGCATCTCCTATCCCTTTACCCCTACAATGGAGCAAACTAGCCTGCAGGCAGGAAGTAGACAAAGATGGGAGGGCAGTCTTGGGGAGTAGTGCCTGGCAGGAACTCACTTGCTTCCCCCTATCTTCAGTGAAGTTCCCTTGTGGAAAGCCAGGGAAGCGACTGGAGAAGAAGCGCAAGCACTTGAAACGTGACACAAACCAAACTGACCAAGTAGATCCAAGGCTCGTCAATGGGAAGGAGACCAAATGGGGAGAGAGCCCCTGGCAGGTGAGAGGAGAAGCAGCTGTTCAGCAGTTGGGTCAGGAATCACTGAGCCCCTGCAGGGAGTTCCTGGTCAGGATGCACAGATGGAGAGAGGAAATGCTGCCTTCACTTGGAGTAGGGGGCTGTGCTAATGGTGAAGCAGTTTCAGGGAAAGATGGGGGTACCTGACAGGAGAGTAGTGGTCAGGATGGGGCAGATGTGCAGGAAGGTGAGTCATAGTTTTAACAAAGAGCTGGAAAGATATTGCGCTGCTGGTGGCATTTTAGGCAGAGGCCTTGCCAATGGGAGAGGTGTTTTGCTTGGGAGAGAGCTGGGAGGGAGGGTTGACCCTGCAGTACCTCTCCAGACTCACCATGGGAACTAACACTTTTATTTGGTCCCAGGTACTGGGGGGGGGGGGGTACGGAAATCAATAAGCAGGGGATTGGCAGGCCTTGGGGAGCTCATAGATCCTGGGAGGGTCAGGCCCCTAAACAAGCCGCTCAATGGGACCAAAGCCAGGATGGCCAGTGGGATAGGGGCTTATGGAACCCTGAGGGGGATACTCAATGCAGCCTGCAGGCTTCAAAGGCTTCTCAGAGGACTTGAGTCCCAGCCTGAGCCCCAAGGGTGAGCAGAACTCTCTGGGTGCTGCTAAGGATGACTATAGCAATGGCAGGGCAAAGGCAAGGAGATGCCCTCCAACCGTCCAACTCTGTAAGACACACAAAAGTAGAAAGTGCCAGCCAAGGACTGTAAGTCCACACCTGTGTGACCAGGGAACCCAGGAAAGACCTAGCTACGCAGCCAGTGCCTCGGGCTTGAGAACCATGCTGGGGCTGTGCCGAGAGCCGCAGGCCCTGACTTGGAGTTGTCAGAGGTAGGCTTGTGATGTCACTGCCCACTCCCATTCCAGGTGATCCTGCTGGACTCAAAGAAGAAGCTGGCCTGCGGGGCAGTGCTCATCCACACCTCCTGGGTGCTGACAGCGGCCCACTGCATGGAGGACTCAAAGAAGCTCACCGTCAGGCTTGGTGCGGGCTGGAGCAGGCAGGAGGGGGCCGCCAGAGGCCTCCGGGAGGGGTGGCACCAGACAGGCTAGCCAGGTTTGGGGACCCTCGTCTTTGGGGTGCTTGCGCAAGAGGCTGCTTAAGGTCCCATGGAGGGTGTCTGGGGAGAAGAGGCCTATGTGCTCCCTCCAGCCACTCTTAGGGTGAAATTTTAGACACAGTGGCACCTGGTGTTTGGCAGGTAGGGGATTCTCTTCACATCTGGTGCCCAGGCGCTTACAGACATGTGTTTGCAAAGTGAGGGGGTCCCACTCACATAGCCGGCTGTGTGTGTGGACCTCCAGCATCCTTGGTGAGGAGACTCACAAGGCTTCTTTCTACATGGCCTGGCCTCAGGGCCATGCTTTGCACAGACTGACGAGAACAGAGCTGAGCAGTCCAGGGCCACAAACCTGGGCCCCACTCTACCAAGTTCTGGAGGGGGCTCTCCCCACTGTGTAGGCAGAAAAGAAGGAGAAGATGTATTGAGAATGACCAAATTCATATTCCCTACGATTACCTCCAGCACGGGCAATGGCCAGTGGCCTCCCGTGGCACTCGGTTTAGGATTTCTAACTCCCCCACCCCCACCCCCACCACTGCCCCTGTCCCTGCAGCAGCCATCAGCCTTGCTGGAGAGGATCTTGTCTCCTGTGTGTGATCCAGATCTTCCCTGGCAGAGCCTGTGGGTCCTCCCTGGGTCTTGCTGCTCTTGCCCTGACCCCATCGTGGCTTGTCACTACCTTGCTCTCGGGCCAGCACTGCTAGATGAGAGTTGTGTCTCTCCACTGCAGTTGCTCCACGTTCCCTTTGGGGCTCTGGTGTGTGTCCTGGGCTTCCCTGCTGACTGCCCACTGCTGCTTACTTGCCAGGCCTCGCTGCTCCGTCTGGGAGTGAGTACCGAATTCCAACCAGCATTCGGCCCCCTTAGGCCTGACACCACAGCCGTTACCACTGGCAGGGATCTGAGGCACAGACTTATGGCACTCGTGACAGTGCCTGGGAGACACAGCGACCACTCCCGGTGTGGACCCACTGGCTGCCCCAAAGCACTCTAACCGCTCCTCTGCCCCACAGGGGAGTATGACCTGCGGCGCTGGGAGAAGTGGGAGATGGATGTGGACATCAAGGAGATCCTCGTGCACCCCAACTACAGCAAAAGCACCACGGACAATGACATCGCGCTGCTCCGCCTGGCCCAGCCCGCTATCCTCTCACAGACCATTGTGCCCATCTGCCTCCCAGACAGTGGCCTTGCAGAGCGCGAACTCACCCAGGTGGGCCAGGAGACCGTGGTGACCGGCTGGGGCTATCGCAGCGAGACCAAAAGAAACCGTACCTTCGTCCTCAACTTCATCAATATCCCCGTGGCCCCGCACAACGAGTGCATCCAGGCCATGCACAACATGATCTCTGAGAACATGCTGTGCGCGGGCATCCTCGGGGACTCACGGGATGCCTGTGAGGGTGACAGTGGGGGGCCTATGGTTGTATCCTTCCGTGGCACCTGGTTCCTGGTGGGCCTGGTGAGCTGGGGCGAGGGCTGCGGGCGCCTCCACAATTACGGCATATACACTAAAGTCAGCCGCTACCTTGACTGGATCCACGGCCACATTAGAGCTGAGGAGGCCTCCCCTGAGAACCAGGTACCTTAGCATCCCTCAGGCTTGTGTCCGAACCCCAGAGGCCACTCGTGGAATGGCGGCTGGATTGCTGAATGGCAATATTTGAGACATTAAAGGGGACATGTAACATGCACACCAGCTACAGTTCTGTCTGTCTTTGTGTCCCTTTTCTGCGCTGTTCTGGAGGGAAGTAACGTTTGTGGAGCATCTACTGCATTTCTCACACTTTATGAACACAATCTTATTTAACTTCCGAAACAACTCTGTGGGGTGGGGAAGAGTGGGTCCAAGTTCGGTGAAGTCTGAGGCCGATAACATTTGGAGGGGCCTCTCTATACGAAAAAGAATAAAAAATGTGCCTATAAAACTGTGAGAGCTCCTCCCAGGGTCTTGGAAGGAGCCTACACGAAACAGAGATATGGAGGCCAGAGCTTTACGGCAAACCCAACAATGAAGGGAGAGGTTTTGAGCTCATATTACAGAGGAGGAAACTGAAGTTCAGGAGTGTTTACATGGTAGAACCAGGATTCCAAGTCTAGGTCTAACTCCCAAACCGCTGTGCCCCTGTCTGTTCTTGGAGGGCAGCTGTGTTGAGCACCTGCTGGGTATAGAGGCCATTATCAGTCCAGTGGAGGAAGTAGCCAGAGACCAAGAAGGTGTTGGTTCAGCTCAGCATGAGCTCACAGTTTAGTTGGGGAAGCTGTTTAAGGACAATGTCACACAACCGTGAACAGCAGTAAGCAAGAAGTTCTGTCTTGACCCAGCCTTCTAGGCATAACTAGATGAGACAGAGAAAGAAGTAAGGATATACCTGATAAAAAGGGATAGAGGTGAGACAAGCTGAGACAATTAGCTGAAAGTCATACAAGTCATCTAACTCTGTGTGGCCTTGGCCAAGTCATTCTCTTCTCTGGGCATCAGTAAAATAAAGGGATTAAATGAAAGCAGTGGTTCTCAATCCTATCTATACATTTGAACCCCCTGGGGAACTTTCACAAACATCTACCTCCAGTTGCACCCTCAGAGACTCTGGTTTAACTGTTTTAGAGTAGGGGACCCAGACATTGGTATTTTAAAAACTCCCTAGGTCATTTAAAAGTGTGACTGGGGTTAAAAGCCACTAGACCAGATGGTCTTTAAGGGCCATTTCTGCTTGGATAGGTGCTAGTTCCAAGCGTCAGGACCAATGAGAATGAAGACCAGCAATCTCAGAAAGGATAGCACAAGTGAGTTAATAGTGAAGGAGGCCCTGACTTGGGATTATACCCAGCTTGTCAGAACCACAGCTGCTAATTACAGACCAGAGAGCTACCAGGACCCATGGAGTTATCTATGTGCAACCACAAGAGAAGAGGTGTGCCTGAGAAGGAGCCTGCCAAATTCATCTCCTAACAGACCCAGGAAAAGCATAGATGGGACAGCTAGGAACTGGGAGGAAGTCAGGTCCAGGGTTGGAACCACCTCCCCATTAGTGCATTGGGCCAGAGTCCCTGACACTTGCAGTGGGACATAATGGATTGAGAGAGTGACAGCATGCTGGATGTCTTTGCACCAGGTGAGCTTCCTGTAAAGACAGTTAACTAGCATGGGTGAGAAAACTCTGGTATGACAGCATGAGGAGATCTACTGACCTGCTCCCTAGTGAAACTAGTGAAAATTATAAAAACAAATATTTAAAGTCTCTGGAAATGGTCCTAAAGGCAAACAAAACAAGAACAAAGATACATCTTTTAAACACACACAAGAAAACTTGATCTGTCCAACAGAAAACAAAGAAGGAGAATAAAAATAAATAAGGAGCCCACATATATACATTTCATTCCTATATAACAATGAACATGTGCAAATCAAAATTAAAAACACAATACCACTTCCAACCACCCTAAAGAAAATGAAGTACTTAGATATAAATTAAACACACAACTATGGCCATCTGATTTTTTACAAAGCTGCAAAAGCAATTCAATGGAGGAAGGAGAGATTTTCAACCCATGAAGCTGGTACCATTGGGCATCTGTAGGCCAAAAAATGAAACCCAATCTAAGTCTCACACCTTATACAAAAAGTAAATCAAAATGGACATAAACTACAAAATGAGACAAGAAGAAAGTATAGTTAATGGAAACTATGGAATAAGATGGAAATAATAATAAATATAATTAGGTTAAACTTACCAATTAAAAGAGAGAAGTTACATGGACCAGATGGACTTAACAGATATATTCAGAACATTTCATCCTAAAGCAGCAGAATAAACATTCTTTTCAAGTGCACACGGAACATTCTCCAGAATAGATCACATACTGGGTCACAAATCAGCCTTCAACAATACAAAAAGATTGAGATCATACCATGCATATTTTCAACCACAGCATTTTGAAACTTGAAGTCAACCACAAGAAAAAATTTGGAAAGACCGCAAATACACGGAGGTTAAAGAAAATCCTACTAAAGAATGAATGGGTTGGGGCACCTGGGTGGCTCAGTCATTAGGCGTCTACCTTCGGCTCGGGTCATGATCCCAGGGTCCTGGGATTGAGTCCCACATCGGGCTCCCTGCTCCACGGGAAGCCTGCTTCTCCCTCTCCCACTCCCCCTGCTTGTGTTCCCTCTTTCACTGTGTCTCTCTCTGTCAAATAATCAACCAGCAAATTAAAGAAGAAATTTTTTAAAAATGTATTGAAGCAGATGAAAATGAAAATATGACAGTCCAAAACCTTTAGGATGCAGCAAGGACGGTCCTAAGAGGGAAGTATATTGCAATATAGGCCTAACTCAAGAAGCAAGAAAAGTCTCAAATATACAACCTATACACCTAAAAGAACTGGAAAAGGAACAGCAAATAAAGCCTAAAGCCAGCAGAAGAGGGGAAATAATTAAGATTAGAGCAGAAATAAATGATATATAAACAAACAAACAAAACCAGAACAGATCAACAAAACCAGGAGTTGGTTCTTTGAAAGAATTAATAAAATTGATAAACCCCTAGCCAGACTTATAAAAAAGAAAAGAGAAGGGACCCAAATAAATAAAATCACAAATCAAAGAGACAGATCACAACCAACACCACAAAAATACAAACAATTACAAGAGAATATTATGAAAAATTACAGCCAATAAACTGAGCAATCTGGAAGAAATGGACAAATTCTTAGAAACATACAAACTACCAAATCTGAAACAGGAAGATATAGAACATTTGAACAGACCCAAAGCCAGCAAAGAAATTGAATCAGTAATCAAAAAACTCCCAAAAAAACAAAAGTCCAGGGCCAGATGGCTTCCCAGGGGAATTCCACCAAACAGTCAAAGAATTACTACCTACTCTTCTTGAACTGTTCTAAAAAAAAGAAGAAGAAAGAAAGAAATGGACGGAAAACTTCCAATCTCCTTCTACAAGGCCAGCATTACCTTGATTCCAAAATCAGACAAAGACCCCACTGAAAAGGAGAATTACAGCCCAATGTTCCTGATGAACATGGGTGCAAAAATTCTCAACAGGATACTAGCAAATCGAATCCAACAGTACATTAAAAGAATTATTCACCACGATCAAGTGGGACTTATTCCTGGCTGCAGGTGTGGTTCAATATTCACAAATCAATCAATGTGATATACCACATTACTAAAAGAAAGGATAAGAACTATATGATCCTCTCAATAGATGCAGAAACATCATTTGACAATATACAGTAGCCATTCTTGATAAAAACCTTCAAAAAAGTAGGGATAGATGGAACATACCTCAACATCATACAGGCCATATATGAAAGACCCACAACTATTATCATCCTCAATGGGGAAAAGCTGAGGGCCACTTTCACCATTACTTTTTAACACAGTACTGGAAGTCTTAGCCTCAGCAGACAACAAAAAGAAACAAAAGGTATCCAAGTCAACAAGGAAGAAGTCTAAGTTCCACTATTTACAGACAACATGTTACTCCATGTAGAAACCCAACAAACTCCACCAAAAAATTGCTATAACTAATAAATGAATTCAGCAAATTCACAGGATATAAAACCAATGCACAGAAATCTGTTGCATTTGTATTCACTAATAATGAAGCAGCAGAAAGAGAAATCAAGGAATCGGTCCCATTTACCATTACACCAAGAACCAGAAGATACCTAGGAATAAACTTAACCAAAGATGTAAAATATCTGAACTCTGAAAACTAGAGAACACTTATGAAAGAAATTGAAGAGGGCACAAAGAAATGGAGAAGCACATGGATTGGAAGAAGAAACATTGTTAAAATGTCTATACTCCCCAAAGCAATCTACACATTTAGTGCAATCCCTGTCAAAATACTACCAACATTTTTCACAGAGCTAGAACACATAATCCTAAAATTTGTATGGAACCAAAAGACCCTGAATAGCCAAAGCAATTCTGAAAAGAAAAGCAAAGCTGGAGGCATCACAATTCTGGATTTAAAGCTTTATTACAAAGCTGTAGTTATCAAGACGGTATGGTACTGGCACAAAAACAGACACATAGATCAAGGAAACAGAATAGAAAACCCAGAAATGGACCCACAACTACATGGTCAACTAATATTGGACAAAGCAGGAAAGAATATTCAATGGAAAAAAGACAGTCTCTTCCACAAATGGTGTTGGGAAAACTGGTCAGCAACATGCAGAAGAATGAAACTGGACCACTTTATTACACCATATACAAAAATAAATTCAAAATAAATGAAGGACCTAAATATGAGATAGGAAGCCATCAAAATCCTAGAGGAGAACACAGGCAACAACCTCTTTGACCTCAGCCATAGCAGGTTCTTACTAGACACGTCACTGGAGGCAAGGGAAACAAAAGCAAAAATGAACTATTGGGACTTCATCAAGATAAAAAGCTTCTGCACAGTGAAGGAAACAATCAACTAAACTAAACTGTACAGTGAAGGAAACAGTCAACCAACTATACTGGGCCTATGGGAGAAGATATTTGCAAATGACATATCTGATAAAAGGTTAGTAGCCAAAATCTATAAAGAATTTATCAAACTCAACTCCCCAAAAAACAAATAATCCAGTTTAAAAATGGGCAGAAGACATGAATAGACATTTTTCCAAAGAAGACATACAAATGGTCAACAGACACATGAAAAAATGCTCATTATCACTTATCAT